GTCCTACATCTTCTATTCCTACTGGTTTCCAAATCCTCATTTGGTTCCCACTGCTGCTCTCCCACCACCCTGTGCTGCCCTGACTACCGTACCCTGCCCTCTGTGCCAACAAAGCTAGTAGTATCTAAAAATGCTATGAATGTTTCAATGTGGGTATCTCGGCAACCTTTCTATTTTTAAATACCCTGATGAGCTGTGGGTAGCAGTTATGTCTGGTACAGCAGTCTGCTCTGGAAGCAGATTAGGCCAAGCTTCCCAGTGCCCCTGAAGCTGTCCATGACAAGGTCATCACCCCACTTCCCATCTGCTGACTTGGGTTTCCCCTAATCCATTTCAGCCAAAACAAACCAGTTCAGCTGACATCTACTATTTAAACTGCTTAAGCTACTCTGGTTGACTTTAGCCGAAACAAGTTTGGGAGGGATTGTGTGAGCAGGTCGCAGGTAGGTAAGGGGAAGCAGTAACCTTTGGCAGAAGACAGCCGTGACGGTGACTGGGAGCTGTCTGGGAATGGTAACCTCTTCAGCGACCCCGCTTCAGCCCGTGGAGGAAGAGAGCACCCACAAGGGGATTTTAAAGCACGGTAAATTCTGTGCTTTAAGTTCAATTCTCACTTATTTCGCAAGAGGTTCCTCTGGCAGGCCACTCCTCTCCACCGCGCAGAAAACATGATGACGTTCCTCAGGCTGCCATTCATCTTTCTCCTGTTTAATCACTGCTAACTGATTAACCAAGCCAAGTGCCACAAAATCCATTCGCTGGAAAAGGAACAGCGAGCTACGCTAGCTTTTATGAATAAATAAAGAGAAACATTTGCAAACCAGGTGTATAACCTCCTTATCTTGAAAGTACCCACCTATAACCCATCCCTGGCCCCCCAGCAGTGGGGGCAGTGAGGGGTGACACTTAGAGCCGCTCCTGCCAGAAGCAGGACGTGAAGTGGCAAGCCATGGGAGAGTGTCAAAGTTTGAGTGCTGTTGTACAGCCCACTGGACAGCCACCATAATGTTTTTTGCCCCTGTTTTACCCCATTAGACACTTTAGGTCTCCTTATCTCATGAGCTTGATGAGGAGGCCCAAGAAAGGGACACTAACATTAACTCTTTTGGTACAGTTTAGCCAAAAAGGGGCAGTGAGCGCTGAGGCCAAAAAAATGCATTGCCAGAAATGTAGCAAAATACATATTGTAGAATTGACAGAGCTTTGAAAGCCTGGGGAGGGAAGGTCAGCAGCCAAGGGACGCCAGCAAAGCCAGGCAGTCCCTCTCCCAGAGGGTTCAGGTGTTTACCAGACTAAGACCTGACTCTCTCCCTGGTTTGCCACCTGCAGTTCAGATCATTTCCATGAGCCTGCTGTGCAAGTGCTAGGGAGGAACGAAAAGGCTTTCAAGGAAAAACAATTAAAAAAAAAAAAAAAGTTAAGCTGGAGTTAGACTCTGGCACGCAAAGGAGTTACTGCCCCATTGCGAGTGACCACCTGCCAGCCGAGGCATGTCAGCTGCCAACACGTGCCGGCTTTGCCCCTTGCAAACAGGAGGTAAAGAACGTGGCTGCTCATCTCAGTGAAGCGAGGTCAGATGCTGCTGCCTCAGCGTTTCAGTCCTCCGGGCTCCTGCCGTTTGTGGCCACAGGTTAGCAACAAACTGGTGCAGCTTCCCCCTGCGATGCTCTCCCAGGTCAGGCTCTCGGTTCAAGCTCAGCTGAAGAGAAAAAGTTATTCTTGGTAATAGCTTCAACTTGCAGGAGTTAATTGTGATATCAGTGTGGTTTAGTCACACTTTTTTTATCACATTAGGAAAAAATTATATCCTGACTCTGTATTGAAGAAGCTTTAATTTTCTCTCCTAGGCTTTTCTCTATATATCCTTTTTTTTTTCAGCTAAAAATAAAAATATTCCAAAAAGATCGCAAGTATTTTTTATCCTTACAGTTTTACAGGGAGGAATCTTTTTCAGTCTCCCAATTAAAAGACAAAACAAAACAAAACAAAAGAACAGTTATGTAAGGTGTTACCAAGCTGAGACGACAAAAGGGAATAGAGAATTGAAATGTCTTTCTTCCTCACCATGCGCCCCTCTCCACTGCTCCCCACTTCTCTTTGTGAGGATAACCGTGCTGGAACTATTTGTTCCTGCACTTCTCTGGTCTGAATAAGCTGGGGCACTGGCTGTCGCCTCTAGTTCCTCTGGCACGCTCTCTGGTCCCCTTCGTCAAAATGGGTCACTTCTAGCTCTGTTAACCAGCAGTTATCTGTGCAGACTCTGAACACTGTGGGCGCTTTGGGGGTTTGCAGAAGGTATCATCTTCAGGGCCACTGGTTTACTGAGACAAAAAGGCAAAACTACTCTTCAGCTACTACAAGGCAGACCCGTGCAAAATGCCAAACGTACCAATGTAAATTGCTTTACCACGGTTTCTCCCCTGCTTTTGATCTTTCGTCACTGCCTGATGGAGACTGGGCTTCTCTTAGGACTTGTCTCTCCCCAGCACGCTCCGTGCAATCCTTTGCAGGGGACACGACTGCTCAGTACGAGTGCCAACGAGGCTTCCTCACGAGAGACAGCTCGCAACACCTTAAGACTGGGCCCTTTGTCAAGGTGGTTCTCAGTCAATTTTGGCCAGACAGAGCCCACCACTGTATTACGTTTTTGGAGTTGCCTGTTTCCCGAAACACCAACCCTACAAACCACTTTACCGTGGGTGATAGCCTTGTGCCTTTCTCAGGCACAAGGAAGCCACCAAGAGCACGAGGACCCGTGTGGTTAATCCTCTTTCTCATGCCTTCTTCCAAGGGTTTTGCGGCACAGGGATTGGAAGGCCAGCGGAGAAGACTGACCAGGGTCTGAATTCCCCCGTGGACGGCGTCCTGCGTGCCCAGCAGCGCCGACAGGCTCTCCTTCGCGACGATGTGATGCCTCCAAGGGAGAAAGAGGGCTGCAGGGTACCCTGGTGCCCCTGGAAGAGGGATGTGTAAGACAAGACAGGGCCCATCAAACCCCTGAAGGATGTACCCCGCTAGTTAACATTGGTTCTAGCCAGAACAGATAAAATAATTGTATTTCTGCGTATCTGTTTAGACTCAACTTTCACTTCCTCAAGTTATGGGGTTTAGATCTGTTTTTCACATATTATTTTTGGGGTGGGTTTTTTTTTTTTTGGTTATCGAAAGGGTGAAGGCCCTCAGCGCTGCCATGTCACCACCAAGGCGCTCTGCCCACACCCCCGCTACCTCCGGAGGATCCCACGGACGCCTCAAGGCCCCGGGGGCTCTGCACCCTTCCCTTTAGAGAAGATACGACCAGAAGCTGCAGAGCCACCGGGAGCTCCCGCTCGGGCACTGAAGGCCCTTTAGCCGGTGTCACCGGGCAGGGAGCGGGCTGAGGGGAGGCCGCGGAGGGCCCGGGCTCTCCACGGCCTCCTGCTGCCCCTCAGGGCGGCGGGCCCGCGAAGGGCCTCGGTGTGGGGGCGGCCGGGGATGGCAGGGGACGCTGAGGCTGTGTGGAGACGGGACGGGACGGGAGCGGCGGGGGCCGGGGCCGGGAGGCGAGGGGAGGGCAGGGGCAGGGCGGAACCCGCCTCCCCGGCCGGGCGAGGGGCGGGGAAGGGCCGCGGCGGCGGCCCGGTTGAATGGCTCCGAGGCCCGGGCTCCTCCCCGGGGCCGGCCCGGCGGCTGCAGCGGGAGGCCGGGGGCAGCGGACGCGTGTCCCGTCCCCCCCCGCCTCCGCCACCGGGGCTGCGGGGCGGCTGCCTGCCTCTCCCCGCGGGGCTCCTCTCCCCCCGCTCCTCCTCTCTCCCTCCACCTTCACCCCCCGGCTGAGTTCATTCACTGGGATTGGTTTCAAGTGACGCCATCGCTTTATTTTTACACCCATGACCTCATCCCAGCAGCTTGAAGTTTACTGACCAGCAAAACTCTTTTTTTTTTTTTTTTTTTTTT